ATTCTGCACTACTTTAAACATAACTTTGCAGAGAAGACCTAAAGATCTCTAATAAAACACAGCAAAATAATGAATCTTTTTAAACTATTGGCATAGTAAAGATTGGTCGAATTAGCGTAGTATTAATTAGAAATATAAAATAAAAAAATAAAAAAGCCTTTTATTTCCAGTTTACAAACCAGGACATGCAATATTGCTTTCTACCTTTATACATAGTTAACAAGAAAATAAAGAGATTTATATCTATGTAGTCTAAATTTTTCAAGTATATATATTATTTTTTATTTTAATTAGAAATATACTCATCAGTCGAAGAATTATCAACTTTAGTGTTGATAGAAATGAAGCAATTCTTGAGTGAGGTTATTGGAGTCCAAACCCTGCCTTCCCCTATTCATTACAACGCACTGACTCTTGAGGCGATATTTCTGCTCGTTCGCCCTTGATGGCATTAAAAAAAGAAACGTTCATAGGCATCTAGAAAGAGTCTTCAAATGTAGATAAAGAAGAAACGGGGATGATTGGGGCAGACGAAATAGCCGAAAATAATCACAGCAATTTCTTTGCATATTTAATTACAAATATGATAAGAAAACCTTTACATCTCATATACTTTACAATATTACCTACATGATGATGTAAATTGTTATGTAGTGTTATAAATAAAACTTTCACTAGAGACAATGCACACATTCTGATAAAAGACATGCGATGCACCTAATTAAATTAGCGACCTTATGTATTTTATTCAAAAACTAAAGAATAAGATTGCTTGCAGATACCTAGTTTTCTTTTAACTCTACGCATTTGTTACGAAATCTAATTTTAGGAACTGTGGTATTAAGTCTTGTTACTTATTGTGTACCCAAAGACGGCATATATTCGTAACTCAACATACCTATTTTTTTTGGGATCATGCGTGCGTTTCATATAAAACTTTAAAATTAGCAATGAACAGGTTTTATACCGGCTTGACTCTCAGCGTTGAACATCTATAAATAAAATAAGTTCCATCTTACTTAAATACCTACCTTTTAAAACGAGAATAGCATAGGGTCTTTTAACACTAAGACGCTGTAAGAAAACTTTTTAACACACCAACAATAATTTCGAATGGAAACGAAGAGACCTCGTAAGGGATGTGTGTAAATTTAAATACATTACATTTTCTACCTAACTTATTTATAAGATGAATGGCTGTCATTAAATATAAAATTATTTAAGAAATTTGTCTAATAAAGTTCTTTGCTGTTAATTATATCATCTAAGTCAAGACATTGATTGGATATAGAAATTGTCTCAATCAAAAAATCCCATACCTTCTATTTGTGCCGTATGGGACGTCGTTCGTCTTTCGTCGCGTCGTTCCGACTTTATTCAATAAACCCAGAGCCCATCCATCTAAATATGCAAAAACCCATACCATGTTTAATTGAACCTGAAAGCTTGAAGACAAGATAGTAAAATAGTTGACTATTTTAAACTGTGCCTATATAGCGTAACGAGCTATGACTTGCATGAAGGATATGTTAGAATATGTCTTTTTCACTATGTAGAGGTTACGAAATCACAATCGCGTAATGATTCGTTAGTGTCTTGCGTGGACCAGCGCTGGTGACGTTTACTGTGACAACAATACTTTATTATTTTCTCTGCTCACATAACTTTTTAATGATCATGATAGGAATGATCATTAAAAAATAAAAAATTGCCATAGGGCATCGATGATGTATTCGCAAGGCACCCTCCGATTGGACTTCGGCAAGCAGTGGGTGTAAGAACACACGACGATAATTTAATATTTTAACGCCCGTGTTTGATCCGTCGGATTTACAAGCGTTATTTATACCTATGCGTGAGTAATATATAATTACAATGGCACATTGAGTTTAATTGGTCAAAAGCTTTTAATAAGCTTGATATCATTCTGACCTCAGTTAAAGACGCTCTTTAGAAAGTACGTACCTACTATCAGTTTCTTGTCGATGACACATGTATACTTGCCCGAATTACTGCTGCGAATGTACATAATACCATAGAAAAAAATACATATATTTGTAAGTCATTACGTACCATTTTTGTAAGCAAGTACGCATTTTTTTCCTATAAAAGGTTCACATAAAGGGTTATACAAAATAGGACTATTTTGTATAACCGATTGATAATGTTCATAGAACGAAATACATTTTCTTATCTATAAACAAGTTGGGGGAGATGGGCCTCCTTGGCATTGGTTTGCAACCCATCTAGGAGAAGAAAACTCTGAAATTAAAACAAACTTGCCTATAAGCTCAAGGACTAGTTATTTATTAAGAGGTTTTCGGGCATACGTCGCCATCAGTGCAGGATGTCGATCTAGGGTGGTAGCGGATCAGTACCTTGTGCACCAATGGTGGCATCCACAAGCTGAGTCAGAAAGCTTCCTGCACACTCGCAAATCCCCTCTTCTCAATGAACAGCACAACAAATAATCCCTAGGGCATGCAATCTCGTAAGACCCGTTATGGAGGATTGGCTCGAGAGGCGTCACGGGACCCTCTCATACCGATTGACGCAGGTGGTCACTGGGAAGGGATGTTTCGGAGATCACCTGTGTCTGATCCGCAAGGAGCCAACGCCTGAGTACCACCACTGCGATGGCCAGACCGTGGACACGGCTCTCCACACGCTGGCAGATTGCCCGGCGTGGGTTGAGCAGAGGCGAGAGCTCGTGGCGGCCATCGGAGTGGGAGTTCTCTCGCTCGATAGCCTGATTGCAGCTATCATGCGGAGCGAGAGTGCGTGGAACTCTGCCGTCTCCTTCTGCGAGCAAGTTATGCTCGCGAAGGAGACGGCGGAGCGGGACCGGGAGAGGTTTAGAACTCTCCCGGCCCGCCAGGCCCGGGCACGGGCCAGGCAGCGCAGGCGACTCAGGCGCCGGAGGTCGCAGAACGACCTCCGTCCTCCATAAGCGCAGGCCTGGGGGTGACAGGTGAGGCCATCTGTCACCCTAGCAGAAGCAGGCCGGGGTGGCGGCGAGCGCGTTGCGAAGCGCGCTCGCTTCCAGGGAGCACAGGGAACATGGGGTTCCCACACGGGGGGGGGGGTCGTCTACTCGTCTGTAGATGACCCGAGGTATGTCGGGGCACCAGGGACTTCCTTTCTAGGGTATACCTGGTTCCCCGGCTATTAGTACCCGGCGAAGGCGTGCGGTTTTAGTCGGTTCGTGTCCGACATGCCACCGACAGGTGGTATCCGAGGGGGAAAAAAAAAAAAGGGCATGCAATCTCGTTCTCGCGAGATCTCGGCCTTTTTTAGCGAGATTGATCTCGGACGATCTCGCGAGATCGCGCGAGTTTAACGAGATTGCACTCGAGCATAACAACGTTTTATTCGAAGCGCGAACTGACACGGACGGAGTTGCGATCTGTCGGTTTCGTTCGGTGGCAGCCTGAGTTAGCGTGTGTCGAGCGAGGTGTCTCTCAGTAAAGTTTTACACAAGATAAAATTTTATTACTAAAAGATAAAGACTTGTTTACTACTTAGAAATTTATTAAAAAAATATAGACAGATACGTCAACAATGTTTGATGCATAAAGGTCTATCGAAAAAATTCTTGAAAATAAATGATTATCTTATAATACTTATAATTTTTTTTTTCTAATTTATTCAAATATTGTGATTATTTGCAAAAAAAACACACAAAACTGCCAATCTCGCGAGATCTCGAAATTGGCGAGATCTCGCAGTTTTAGAAAAAAAAGGGCATGCAATCTCGTTCTCGCGAGATCTCGGCCTTTTTTAGCGAGATTGATCTCGGGATCTCGGTTGAGCCCCAATCTCGCGAGATTTGCATTCCCTAATTATCCCCGAGTGCCCGGCGACTCCCGGGGGGAAAGCTATGACAGTGTGCATACAGGGGTGATAATCTCCGGGCGAGGAGCTTAAACTGACAAACTGTAAGGATTACGAGAAACTAAATATACTTATAATGTACGATTTTTAAGAAATGAAGACCGACTTCTAGAACTTGAAAATGGAGTTTGTTAACTGAGATATCATGGACCTATCGGAAGTCAGAAGAGAAGGCAAAGATAAATTAGACCGCAAAAATAACGTCTTCTATTACAATGGACGAAATGGTGGTCAGTCAGGCGTAGGCTTTTTGGTTGCAGCATGTTGGAAATCTAACATCATAGAATTCGTCTCTTACTCAGACAGAATAGCAGTGTTGAAGTTTTCTGTCACAAAAACATAATTCTCACCATCATCCATGTCGACGCTCCAACATCATCACACCCCGATTTAGAAGCGAGGAATTCTATGACTTACTGGACAAAGCATGCGATGAGCATAAATGTTCATCCTGGGCGACTTTAATGCCAAACTCTTTGTTAGAGAAAATTGCGACAATCCCAGAATCTTAGGTCCAAATGATTTGGGAACCAGGAAGGAACGATGAAAGCGCCTGTTGCAATTTACTTAGAACCAGCTATAAGAAATAGTTACTTTTACAAAAAATCACAAAGGCGTTGGACGTGGTTTTCGTCCTACGGCGAGAACAAAAAATAAAATATTTCTGTTTATCATCTATGAAACAAAAAATAACCAATTTTCATATCATCAATAAAATTCAGTTTTCATTTGATCATAGACCATTACGTGTAACTGTATGAGTTAACCTCAAAATCAATAGAAGAAAACTCATACATAGTTGACTTCAATTGACTAAACTTTACAGAATTGGCAGACGAAGATCAACAGTATACTTTACTAAAACAGTGTACTTTTCTTTACTAAACAAGCTAGCTCAAAAATAGAACAACTAAGACTGAAATACTTTTAACTCAGTAATGAAACTAAACTTTTAATACAAGAACGGGTTACATACCGATTTAATAGTGAAGAATATAAGAAATTAGACAGGATAGTTAGAAGAGAAATATTAGAAAAGAAAACGTCACTACAATGATAATTTGGCAAAAGTAGCCTTAGAATACAACAAATCTTTAAAAATAGCTATGAGGGGTACCGAAACAATTCGATCTGCCATCACAACTATTAGGGATAACTCGGGCATCGTACACAGGGAGAAAGAGAAGGTCTGCACAGACTTCTACGCGAAGTTAAATAGTGTGCCTCAGAACATCATACCTATTTCTACACAAAAAAATGGTAACATCCAACCTCCTACAAATATTATAGCACCAATAACAGAGTTCGAGGTCCACTGTGCACGTTGAAATTTAAAATACGGTAAAAGTCCAGGCGTAGAAGGCATAGCAACAGAAGCACCGAAAATTGGACAGCCCATACTTCTACCTTATATAACACATTTATTCAATACCATCATACAAACAATACAAATACAAATATATACAAATACAAATTCATACAAACCACTCTACAATTATTCTAATTCATAAGAAAGGTGATAAAACTTATTTAAACAACTACTGTCCTATAAGTTTAATATCTCATTTATACAAAACTTAAATTAAAACCTTAGAAAACCGAATAGCCAGCAAACTTGATTTCCACAAACCCCCCGAACAGGCTGGATTACGGAGAGGCCTATCCACCATTGACCCTCTCCATTGCCTAAACCAAATAAAAGAAAAGTGTATCGAATTTAAAAGACCGTTATATCTGGCATTTATCGGCCTTCAGCAACAGCATACAACACAATGCACTTTTTCACACATTTTAAATATAAAGAAAAATGAGCACCACTTGGGTCCCACAAGTCGCAAAAAAATAACGTGGCCCACACACGTCCTCCGTTTCCCCAACGGAGGGAATGGTGCAAAAAGCATTCCACGGGTTAAAAAAAAAAATGGCCCAGGCGACGATGGCCGGTCGATCTCAACGGCTTCCGAAAAGATTGGCCCGAACTAGCACTCGACAGAGAGATGTGGAAAAGAGAGAGGTCTTTGCCCTGCAGTGGGACAATACAGGCTAAAAATAAATAAAGAACATAAAGTACCAAAGTAGGTACGTAATTATTAAAAACCACTAAATCGTGTATTACTTCGCAAAGCTCTTTCCGAAACGATATCACGTTATGCAAGCTTTTGAAGATTTTAGAAGTTTATTCAAAATTACTTATATTACGAACTGAATAGAATTTTGTAAACTCAAATGTGCTTGAATGAGTCGGCACCGGTTCTTCTACTTAATAGATTCGCCGCCTCGCTGCACTTGCGACATCTTTGTATACATAAATGCGTGGCAGATTACGCCACCCTTGGGTCAATTTACCCATTATTGATGAAAAAGACATACCTGACGGATTGCCTGGCTACTGACTTCCTTGAAAGTCAGTGATATCTAAGTGATAGTAATTATTATATTTATTTATTAAACTCCATAGACAGTTGACACGAGTAGGTACATCGTCGCACCTAATGCTAAATACATTGTCTACCACTTAACCATCCGTGATATTGAGTTAAAAGAAGACTATTTTAAATAGTAATTTTGTGGTGTATTTACCTTAAGTAAATAAACTTTAAATACGAAAACATACTGAAATTTTTCGAATCTAAAGAAAACAATTAGTTGTAAAACGAAATATAATGTTTATTGTACTATAGGTTAGATATTAAATCAAGTGCTAATTGTCAGAATAATTAAAATCCTTTATAATTAACATCCTTATGAGACACATAACAAAGAATAAAGTTATTCTGTGTTCTGAGACATCTTAAATTAGTCATAATTACAAATCTAATTGAAAAAACTGAAATCAGTGCTACCCACATTATAACAGGTAACATTATAATAGCATTAGAAACCTTCGTGTCTTTTTGAAGTCGGTGCCAATAGGTTATGCTGCCGGTTCATGCTGCGCCAAACGAGCCAAAGCACTTATTTTAGTTTTTCAAATAAATTTGTAATTATTTTTTAATTTTAGTACTTTTTTACTACTGTTTGAAGTCGGTTCAACTTTAAAAAAAAAAGATTTTACAATTTTTTGTGTAAGATACGTTTATAATGAGTACGAGTATAGTGAGATACAGTGAGTTATGGTGAGATACGATATTTACTACACTGACACTACGCCCTGTAATGTGTATTACCAAACTGCAGAATGTTACATTTTATTAAATTTAGTTTAATATGTCCGTTACTCTATTTATATTAAATTTTAAATCAATTTATTTCCACGTTACTTAGTTTATCATCATTCGTGTTATATTTTCTTCACATCTGAATGGAACCAAAGGGAAAAATACCCTTCTAAATAAAAAAAACCATATCGGTTTACAAATGGAAAAGTTTTGAGGGAATAAAAATTAATATAATTGCGTAACATTTTTTTTGTCTAAATGTATTGTAATCTCATTTATTACTTTCAATAATACAGTCATGTATGTGCATACATGACTATAGTATTGAAAGACTTATCCTTTAATTCCTAATTGTCAAGAACCCTTAAATCACCAGTTCAAAAACAGGAGACAACGGCTACCAAACGCAAATAGCTGTATAGTTAGAGAAAAAAGATAAAACACGTTATCGGGGCTGTAAAATTTGAGGCTTTCCCTAGATTTCTCCAGGATCTCATCATCAGATCCTGACTTTGTGGGAACGGGACCATTACCACAAGGTCAGTACCTCGGGACTGTACGTGTAAGGGACACGTACAGTTCGGGATTACAAAACGAAATTTGAAAATCGGTCTATAATTTACGGCTGTATCGTGTAACAAACATAAAGAAAAATACAGATATAAGACAATAATATAATACAGCTATTATTGAGTACATCCTCTATTCTGTTTTTTTGGAGTCGTCTAAAAAGTGCTACAAATGTACTTAAACTATTTGCTGAAACGCATATTATAAATGTTTAAGGGTTAAATGTATAATTGTATTTGGTGAATCTAATTCTCTTTTGTTGAGAATGCGTTTGTTAAAGTTAAATTATCTCTAAAAATATTTTTTCTTTGCATCTAGAATTACTTGCACCGGTCTTATTCTACGAGTTTTGAGACGTACGGTAACAAAAATTAATAGCGTCAATTTTGGTTTAGGTAGACATGTCTACGTTTGCCGAGACGCGGTCTCCACTCAAGAACTCGTTTTCCCCAACGGTTATCGGTTCTGCGGCTAATATGGCCAGCCCACTGCCACTTCAACTTGCTGATCCGGTACGCTATGTCGGTGACCTTAGTTCTCTGCCGGATCACCTCATTTCTGTTGCGATCCCTTAGAGAAACGCCGAGCATAGCCCTTTCCATAGCACGTTGAGCGACTTTGAACTTGTGGACCAGCCGTACCGTAAGTGTCCACGTTTCAGCTCCGTATGTCATGACGGGTAGGACGCACTCATTAAAGACTTTCGTCTTAAGGCACTGTGGGATCGACGATGAGAAGACTCGACGTAGCTTCCCAAACGCTGCCCAACCTAACCGAATTCTTCTGTTCACCTCGTCCTCGAAGTTGTTTCTACCTAACTGCAATGTCTGCCCGAGGTACACATAATTTGGAACAACTTCGAGAACGGCACCGTGTACCGCAATCGGTTCCGGTAGTACATGCTCGTTGAACATGACCTTGGTTTTATCCAAGTTCATCCGTAGGCCGATGCGTACAGAAGTGTCAGCTAAGTCATTCAGCATTTGCTGTAGGTCCTGCAACGTCTCTGCCATGATGACGATGTCATCTGCAAATCGCAAGTGAGAGATGTATTCGCCATTAATATTGATGCCACGCCCTTTCCAGTGCAGCGTCTTGAACATGTCCTCCATTGCATTTGTGAACAATTTCGGGGAAAAAACGTCCCCTTGTCTCACTCCTCGATGCAATGGTACGGGCCTTGTTTGCTGATTCTGTACTTGGACGGACATGGTGGCGGCTTCGTAGAGACATCTCATCACTTTGATGTATCGCCAATCTACTTGGCAACGCTGCAGGGACTCCAGAACAGACCAGATCTCGATCGAGTCAAAGGCTTTCTCATAGTCCACGAATGCTAGACACAGGGGCTGATTATATTCTTCGGTCTTCTGTATAATCTGCCGCACTGTGTGGATGTGGTCTATGGTGCCATATCCGCTCCGAAACCCAGCTTGCTCCGGTGGTTGGAATTCGTCGAGTCTTCGCGCAAGACGGTTCGTGATGACTCTCGAAAACAGCTTGTAGACGTGGCTTAGAAGGGATATGGGTCGATAGTTCTTCAACCTGGTCTTGTCACCCTTTTTGAAGAACAAGACGACCACACTCCTACTCCACGCTTCTGGAGTTCTCCCTTCAAACAGCACAGCGTTGAAGAGCTTTTGGAGCTCCCTTAGTACGGGTTTACCCCCGGCCTTCAGCAGCTCTGTTGTAACGCCATCCTCTCCAGGGGCTTTTCCATTTTTCAGCTGTCCAAGAGCCATCTCGATTTCGTCAATGCTAACTTCTGGCAGGTCTTCGGTGTAGTGACGTGTTAATGTGGCTCTAGAGTCCTCATTTTCGGGATCAGGTCGAGATGCATGCGAAGCGTATAACCGGCCATAGAAGCTTTCCACTTCCAAAAGGACTGCCGGCTTCGAAGCAACGACTTCTCCACTTTCTGTAGTCAACTTTGTCAGGTGGCTTCTTCCAAGAGATTGTACGAACACTTTTGACCCCCGATTTTGCTCGATCGCTCTTTCAATTGAAAGAGTATTGGAGCACCGGAGGTCGTGTCGTACGAGTTTACTGATCTTTCGGTTTAGAGTCCGCTTTGCCGACAAAGTGACAGGTGGGTTTTCACGTCGTTTCTTCATCAGCCCTAGGGTCCTTTCTGAAAGCTTCGACTGCCTGCCCTTACGCTGCATTTCACAAAATCTCATACCTTCTTCCCTGAGGATCTGAACCACATTTTTGAGGTTCTGGTTTACGTCGATTGTGGTTTCCACGGCAGCGAATCGGTTTTCCAGTTTTGACTGGAACGTTTCAGATCCTGTCATGGCTTGGAGCCGAGTTGGTCGGAGCCTGGATTTCATCAAACAGACACGTTCCGCCTTAAAGTTGATATTCAGAGAGCCCCGGACAAGTCGGTGATCACTACCGGTATTAAACCTATTGATCACTGAGACGTCTCTGAATATGTGCTTTCTATCCGTCATGATGAAATCGATCTCATTTCTGGTCATAGCGTCGGGGCTTTGCCACGTCCACTTCCTTTGGGGCTGTTTCTTGAAGAAAGAATTCATCAAAAACAGCCCCTCCCGTTCGAGGAAGTTGACCAGCATTTGCCCCCTATGATTCCT